CTTTGGGCCAGTCACTAGGAGAGAGAGAGTTCTAGTACCACTTAACTATGAAAGCCATCTGGGTGGCTTTGGGCCAGTCACTAGGAGAGAGTGAGTTCTAGTGCTGCCTTAGCCATGAAAGCCATCTGGGTGACTTTGGGCCAGTCACTAGGAGAGAGAGAGTTCTAGTCCCAACTTAGCATGAAAGCCGCCTGGGAGACTTTGGGCCAATCACTAGGAGACTGGGAATTCTAGTTCTGCTTAGCTACAAAACCAGCTAGGTAACTTTGGGCCATTCTCTCTCTCTCTCTCTCTCCCCCTCCTTCCTCCTCTCTCCCTCTCTCCAACCAACCTCACAGGATTGTCTTGTGTGGAAAATAGGAGGAGGAAAATGAGTTCAGGAAGTTCAAGTCATTGTCGCTTGGAAAGAAACAGCCATAAATCAGAAAGGATACAACCGGTTATTAAGGCTGTTTGTCTTTTTTATAGTGTTTCTCTGTATAATCCTTCTGTCCTCTGTAAGAACGACGAACCCAAAAGACCTCTTCATATTTACACATTGTAAAAATGACTTGGCGAAATTGAAGTATATATATATATATATATATTTCCTCTCTCTTCACGACTCAAACCTGCTCCAACACATGCTAAGAAGCCAACTGTTTGGGGGGAAAAAACATTACGCAATATTATGTATACTGTTGTTATTATTTTTTCCACCTATGGTTGGAATTTATTAGCTTGTGCCGGCTGGCTTATATTAGCAATATCCTGCTTGGTTTTTACACTCCGGATGTGTTTTTACACAAAGATTGCAACCGACAAATTTAACTAGGCAATTAAAAAAAGAAGAGTTTTAGTTATTTGAAAAGGCGAGGCCCTGTTTGATCTGCGGTCAAATATTCATTTAGTGACCATTTGAAATTACAAACTAAACTTGAGGGTGGAGTCCTTGACTTACAACAGTTCATCGTAACATTCAAAGTTACGAAGGCACTGACTTATGAACGTTTTTCACGCTTACGACCGTTCTAGGGTTGACTGCCTGTCCCCTTTAAAAAATGATGGTAGGGGCTCCTCCAGACCAAAGGATATGCTCGTATTTATACATTTCAGGAAAGGAGGAAAAGAAATGATGCAACCACAATACAGGTAGTCCTCGACTTACAACAGTTCCTTTAGTGACCTTTCAAAATTACAACAACACTGAAAAAGTGAACTTACGACTGTCAACTCATAAAATATTTCTATGGGCTTTTTTAGAGTTGCCAACAGAAAGAGAAGGGGGAGCAGTGCAGCAGCTTGCAAAACCGAAACTGCATTCCATCAATGTTTTCAAAGATAGTTTCCAGGTGACGGAAGTTTCTGCCGTGCAAAATTCTAACTGGAGAGCATGATGGATGACTCTTGGCTAGGGATGTGTCCCATTGGAGCATATGAATTATGATACACCCAGGGGTGGGGGAAAACCAGGGTCAAGGGTGACAATAGATTATATGTCTCAGAGTCGGCTACACCCAGGCAGTGCCGGAGAGTTTAACTCCCAATAAATCCTTTTTAAGTTTTGGAAGTTTGGCTCGAGACTCATGATTTAAATGTGGGGGGAACTGCCGGAATCTTGACAATGACCAGTTTTCACACTTACAACCATTGCAGTGTCCCCAGGGTCACACGATCAAAAGTCAAGAGGCTTGGCAACTGACTCATATTTATGACGGTCGCAGCGTCCAGGGGTCCCTTTTGCAACCTCCTGATCTGCCAAGTCAATGGGGGAAGCTTTGATTCGCTTAACAACTTAACAGCTGCGGCAATTCACTTAACAACCGTTGTCAAGAAAGGTCATAAAATGGGCCAAGACCCGCTTAACAAAAGTTTCACTTAGCAATGGAGGTTTTGGGCTGAATTGCGGTCATAAGTCAAGGACTGCCGTTAGTTAAATGACTGGGGGGTGGCGAACCGACGTTCAAAGGTAGGAGGACACCGGACAGAGTGGACAATGGACGAGACTGACCGAGCTTATGGAGCAGTACTCTGATTCTCTGCTTTCGAACAGAATGAAGTCTTTGACGAAGACGGCCACGGCACGAAGGATGAAGGACAAAAACAGATGCATGTGGATATAATTCCGGGTACAGTGCAACTTCCTGCAAAGGAGAAAGAGGACAGGATGATGGGCCCTCTTCATATCTGAAGGCGCTTTTGACCATCTCTGGTGGACGCTTAAGGAAGTTGAGAGTCAGAACTGAACGTGCAACATGAAGCTTTTCTGCTTGGCTTGCTGGACAACGAGTCAGAACTCCCAGAATCACCCTAGTTAGTAGGAGGACTGGATTTTAGTGGAGGAAGAGGAGGTGGAGAAGAAGGAGATAGAGGAGGAGGAGGAGGAGAAGGAGAAGGAGATAGAGGAGGAGGAGGAGGAGGAGTTAGAGGAGGCGAAGGAGAAGGAAAAGAAGGGGAGGAGAAGAGGAAGAGG